TAATAATTTAAATTGAAGAAACGTCGCAGTGCATATACGCTGCGACGTTTCTACAATTGAAATTATTCACAACACTCTTCGAGGTGTTGGAGAGGAGAGCGCGAGGGGGGGAGCGAAAACGTCGTCAAAAAAAGTAGCGAAAATAATATACTCGCGCTCGGCGGAACAGGGATGGAGGGCATTCGCGCGCGAGCCGCGGCGGAGTGGAGGCCGTCTCGATATATCGATAAGTTGGGCGCCAGATGCGGTCTTTCACGCATCAATTTTCGCGAAACGACGAAGAACGCGAAAAACGATAGCCTGCTTCGCCACGGGCTGATTAGCTCGTCTAACGGTAGAGGGGAGGGATTTTAGGAGAAAGTCAATTGGTTATGCAAGACTTCGCTAATTCGACATTCGACAGACAAAAACGGAAATCGACAATCACGAGAGACCAACACTCAAATAAATTACGCGAGCTTAATAAAGAAATATAACACGTTTATTAATAGGAAAATAGTATAAAAATAAGATTAAATAACAAGTCAGAGTAAGAACGAATGTTCCCAATAAATTCAAAAAGATGAGAAAACGAGATATACAATAAATCAAGTCAGTAATGGTACTCATAATACAATAATAACTCAATCAAATCGAATATTCGCTTGAAATCGACAATCTAAGAGAGCGCTAAGGCATTTCTGTTATTTCTCTGAGCCCGTTTTTATAGCCGGAGTTCGCTAGATTGAACGATATTTCTCGAAATACAACGGATTTTCGACATTGAAATATTTGCGAATAATATTCCCCAAAACGTATCGTAATTTCGGCAGCCAAATCGACGTCTTATCGCTTCGGTCTTTTCCCCGCAATTTCTCAGGTCACTATTGTAATCGACAGCATAAGAGTTCGACAGCGTAATTAACCATGTAGCGAAAATAATTATTGATTTTGCGAAGACAGATCTCGTATGCGATAGGCGAGCGATATGTTTGATAGCCGGCGGCGGCCGGAGAGTTTTCTCTTCCGGTGTTTCACCTCTTTCCTCCGCGCAAACAGCGCAGATTTCAATCGCAATCGGACTTTGGCGATTACCTCGCACCGCGACACATTCGACAAACAAGAATTATCACCTACGCTTTATTCACCGACCTAATAAGCACGACAAAGACGCAAATACTCTCACGCACACAATATTATATTGGGTTGGCAAGAAAGTAATTTCGGTAATTTTAGTGTGAAATAAAACTCTTGAGTTTTTTTAACGAATACACTTTAATCAATTATATATTTTCCATTTTGGTCAATGACCTTTTGCCATCTTTCTGGCAATTTCATAATGCCGCGCTCATAAAATTTTTGGTCCTTGCTATCAAAAAAACTTAACAAGTGCGATTTGAGATCATTGTCGTTATGAAAATTTTTTCCATTTAAGGAGTTCTGCAAACTTCGAAACAAATGATAGTCTGAAGATGCGAGGTCAGGGCTGTAGGGCGGATGGGACATGAGTTCCCAACCAAGCTTCAATAATTTGCCACGAGTCATTAAAGATGTGTGAGGTCTTGCATTGTCCTGGTGAAAGACGATTCCTTTACGATTTGCCAATTCTGGGCGTTTTTCTTTGATGGCTTTCTCCAGTTTCATCAGTTGTTGACAATAGACATCTGAAGTAATCGTATGGTTCCTTGGAAGCAGCTCAAAATACACGACGCCTTTGTAATCGCACCAAATTGACAGCATGATCTTCTTTTGATGCATCTCTGCTTTCTCTGATATGATTGAAGCTGGTTCATCACTCTTGGACCATGATCGTTTCCTGCTGATGTTATTATAGACGATCCACTTTTCATCTCCAGTAATAATTCTTTTCAGAATAGGGTCAATTTCGTTGCGCTTGAGATGCATATCGCAGACATTTATGCGCTGTGTTAAGTGAATTTCTTTCAATTCATGGAGTACCCAAATGTCGAGCTTTTTGACGAGTCCAAGACGTTTAATATGATTTTCAATGGTTGTATGTGATACCTGGCACTTCTCTGCAATCTCTCGCACAGTTATGTGGCGATTGGATTCAATTAGAATTTTAATTTCATCATCGTCAGCTTCAATAGGCCGACCGGAACGTTGGTTATCTTTGAGCGAAAAATCTCCTGAACGAAATTTTTTAAACCAATTCTGACATGTGCGTTCTGTTATGCAATCACCACCATAAATTTCACAAATATCTTTATGAGCCTCAGCAGCTTTCTTCCCTTTGCGGAAATAAAAAAGTAAAATGTGACGAAAATGTTCGTTTCGGCACTCCATGTTTAAATCAATCCTGAATTAATAATTGCAAACAAAATAGCGCGCGATTTGCTTCTTAAATAAGCTAGAGGTGCCATCTGTCAAATGTCAAAAGAAAAAAGTTCTGACAGTAACAGAAACACGTGACCGCAAACATGAGACCATCTATATGGTAAAACCGAAATTACTTTCTTGCCAATCCAATACAATAGAATAGACGCTCACACGCACAATTAACAATCGATTTCAACCACGCAGTTAGACACAAAAATCGCCCAGAGATAATTTGCGGGAATGTTCCACGCGGCAACGACAGCGATGCGACAACACGGGCGGCGTACGCTTTTCGCGATCTTTCGCGCACGCGGTCGATATTCGGCGGTCAATAGCTACGCGTAATGAACACCCCGAAACCCGGCAAGAGATGAACGTTGCCTTATCAATTAACGTTACGACTATTCCTCGGTCGCTTGTCTCCGATCGCCCGAAAATCCACGAAATATCGACGGCTCGGCACAGGACCCGAGCGGTCGCAAAACACGAAAATGGCGACGGCGATAGAACGGCCGGCCGGCGGACCGAATCGCGTACGTGGCTCACAAAAATAGATGGGCAACCTCACCGATGTATGTCCTCCTGCAGGGGATGGTCTTCGGTCTCGCGCTCGGCTCGGTCTCTACAGCGACAAACACCACAAGAAACGACAACGTAGATTATTATTGATTGCGACTACCTGAGTCGAGCGCCCGCACCAGAGTGAATCCCTGGATCTCCCGATCCAGGGTCGATAACTGCGTCAATGACCGCGCACAGGGGTGCGCAGTTCCGCGGCCAATCAAATCGCGGCACGCAAGAGATCCTGGCACCTCGCGATATGCGAGATATTCTGGCGTCCTGCACGAAACGGCCCCAAATTCAGTTTCTGCTGTCGCCCCTGTGCTCGGGCCCCTGTTTAGTGACCCGATGGAGGCTCAGCTGTCGTTTTCCTCTCCCGGAGGATAGCGCCGATCTTCGTCCCCTTTTTTATAGGAGGAGGAGCGACGTTATTCCTTGGCGTCCTTTGGCTCGATTTTTCGGGCGCTACTTCCTTCTCTATTTGCTGTCAAAAAGTGCCGTGTCGCAGATCGCTGCGGAAAATCCCTTGACGTCTTCCTTCCTACGAATGCCCCTCGGCGAGTTGCCCAAGTGTTCATTAATACAAAGAAATATACAAAAAAAATTAATCAAAGCGCAAACTAACATAAAATCGCTTGTCCCTTCGGGGAGTTCAATATTGTTCTCGCTATCTGGCTTCTGGCGCGGCCGCTCGGCCCGCGCCCCGTTAAAATTACGGGAGCGGATGGACGCGCGACAGGACGGCAACGTCACAACGCATACGTGTACGAGTACGTATGTGTGATGTGTGTATGTGTTATGCGTTTAATAATTAACTTACATGCGTGCGCGCGCGCACACACACACACACACACGCACACAATCATTCACGATCATTGTTTTTGACAGAATCGCTGGAATTGAGCTAGTGACAAATCATAGTTGCGCAAACGGCATATACTATTAAGCGCATGTTTTATAATACGAATAAAGATTAACTTGAAAGAAGTAATTTTTTTTTCGATGCCAGCCCAAATCGAGTCCTGGCCTCCTCTATTTTCTTCTTCCATTCTTTACGGTTTCCCGACTTCTCCAGCTTCTAACATTCAACAGCTCTCTGGCATCCCTAGCTTCCTCCCATCGCAGGCTCCCTTGGCTTTCTGACAAATCGTTTCCTTCCTGGCTGTCGCATTAGGTCGTTTCTTTTCTGGCCTTCTTTGGTACTCGCATATTTGGCATTCTCTGGACATGTCCTGCCCAACAAAGTCTCATCAGTTTGATGTGTACCGAAAGTCTGGCTTCTTTATACAAATCGTATAGTTCGTGGTTGAACCGTATTCTCCAATGCGCATTTTCATTTACAGCTTCATAAATTTTGCACAACATTTTCCTTTCAAAGCTGTCCAGTCCAGCCTGTCTGCCATTTTGGTCGTTATCGTCCATGCCTCGCTTCTATAGGACTCTATAGTATGGATAAGAGTTTTGTAGAATCGTAATTTAGTTTCTCTGTGGACATTCCTCGATTTCATAATTGATAGTAGTGGAGAAGAAGGTGCGATTCGCCGCAGATAATTTCTTTGTGACCTCTGGATTCGCCATTGTTTGTGTTGACTTCTGACCTTAAATACATGAACTTTACTACTTCAAAATTATATCTATTAAAGGTGACGTTCTGTCCCAGTCTGGTCTTTTGTTTTCTGGTTTGTAATAGAAATTTAGTTCTATTTTCGTTCATCTTCAAACCCACCTCTTTCGCGTCATTTTCGAAATTTCCAAAAACTTCTTTCACTGTTAGTATCGACCTTTCTAGTATATTGAGATCGTCCAATGATCTGTTGCGATTTTTGGAGTATTGTTGTGTTGACGTCAACTGAGGTGTTGCGTATTACCTTCTTCAAAGCCAAATTAAACAGTGCTAGGTTGTCCCTCTGTTTGAGACTCTGCATTACTCCAAAGTTACTTGTCAGCTCTCCCATTACCCTAACCTGACATTAAAAGTTCTGCATGGTCACCTTCACGAGTCTCATTAGTTTAGATGGTATGTCAAAATCCAGCATGATTGAGTATAACTTATTTCTGTCGATGCTATCATATGCTTGTTTAAAGTCGACGAATAATTGATATACATCAATGTCGAACTCTCAGCACTTCTCGGATACCATCTTGACTGTATACAGTTGGTCCATTGTCGATTTACCAAATCTGAAACCTGCCTGGTATTCTTCTAGGATATTTTCGGTAAGACTTTCCAGTTTAACCCTGATGACAGCTGTAAATATTTCATAGGCGGTACTTAGAAAGAATATTTCCCTGTAATTCCCGCATGTGAGCTTGTCTCCTTTATTGTGGATTAGGCAAATGATACTAGTCTGCTACTCCGCAGAGAGGGTTTCTATCACCCATATGCAAACAGCATGTACCATTAAGCGCATGTTTTATAATACAAATAAAGATTAATTTCGTGAAAGATGTAATACAGTACATAAATTTCGTATTTTTATTAAAAATAAAATAAATATATCTTTTCTTAATCACGCGTATTCTTAAATTGCAGATTACACAGATTACAGTTTAATAAAAAATAGTAATCTTTTTAACACAATACAGAGACAAATGGAAACATTTTATGGAAGTTATAAATGAAATTATACATACTTAAATAATATTGAAATTTCTCAATCAATTAATTTCTTTTTTATTTTTATTTTAATAAAAATTCAAAAAAATTTGTTAAATATGGATTTTATCAAACAGATTTCAATAAAATTGAATGTATTTAGTAAATTTCATAGAAGCTTATATAGAGAAATGAGAAAGATTATTTCAGAACATATATATTGCGACGTTTCTTCAATTGAATTTATTAATTTTTGCAACACTCCTCGAGGTGTTAGAAAGGAGAATGCGAAGGGAAGTGAAAACGCCGTCAAAAACACAGGGAATATAGTGTACTCGCGCTCAGCGGAACAGGGATGGAGGACGTTCGCGCGCGAGCCACGGCGGAGCGAAGGCCATCTCGATATCTCGAAGTTGGGCGCCAGATGCGGTTTTTCACGCATCAATTTTCGCTAAACGCCAAAGAACGCGAAAAACGTTAGCCTGTTTCGCCACGGACCGACTAGCTCGCCTAACGGTAGAGGGGCAGGGTCTTGGAAAAAGTCAATTGATTATGCGAGACTTCGCTAATTTGACATTCGACAGACAAAACAGAAATCGACAATCACGAGAGACTAACATTCCAATAAACTACGCGGACTTAATAAAAAAATATAACAAATTTATTAATAAGAAAATAATATAAAAATAAAATGAGGAATAAATCAGAGTAAGAAGGAATATTCACAATAAATTCAAAAATATGAGAAAACGAAATATATAATAGATCAAACCGATAGCGGTAGTAATAAGGATAATTCAATCGAATCGAATGCTCGCTCGAAATCGACAACCTAAGAGAGCGCTAAGTCATTTCTGTTATTTACCCGAGTCCATTTTTATGGCTGGAGTTTGCCAGACCGAACAATATTTTCCAAAATGTAACGGAATTTCGGCACATAAATCGACATCTTATTGTACTGGTCTTTTTCCTCGTAATTTCTCAACTCGCTATTCCAATCGACAGCAAAAGGTTCGACAGCTTGACTAATAATTGAACGAGAATAATTACGGATTTTGCGAAGACGAGTGATCTCGTTTGCGACAGGCACTGTTATAATGATGATTGTCGATCGCCATCGGACGCAGATCACGCTGTACTTCTCGGCTCTTTACTCACACTATTCTTAGCGCAACCGGCTCAAATTTTGACAACAGTTGAATTTTTGCGATTATCTCGCACTGCGATACACTTAAAAACACACGATAATTGTCACGAAATAGGCGCTACTTATAGATATGATGAGCGCAGAGACGCAAAGACACTCGCACATATACTACTAGACGCTCACATACACACATACGAATCGATTATACAAACGCTGATGGACACGAAAATCTCCCGTAGATTGTTTGCGGGGATGTTTTATGCAACGATAGCGATACGACAATACGGACGGCGTGCGCGTTCCCCGCGATTTATAGCGCACGGTCGATATCCGGCAGCCGGTTGCTACGCGTTTTTAACACCCCGAAACCCGGAGAGAAACGAACGATACCTTATTTATTACTGCCCCCGTTACGACTGTCTGCGATACCTCGGTCGCTTGTCTCCGGTCGCCCGAAATTCACGAAGAATCGACAGCTCGGCACAAGGCCTGAGCGGCAGCAAAGCACGAAAATGGCGACGGCGACAGAACGGCCGGTCGTCGGATCGAATCGCGTACGTAGCTTACACGTAATAATGGGCAACCTCACCGATATGTGTCCTCGAGCTGGGAGGTGATCCTCGGTGCCGTCCTCTCCTTGATCCCGCCAACGATAGCGACACGCACAATACGATAACTATTAATACTTAATATGACTAATTGCGTCGAGCGTCTGCACTAGAGCGATTCTCTGGATCTTTCGATCCAGGGTTGATAGCTGCGTCAATGACGGCGCGCAGGGGTGCGCAGTTTTGCGGCCAATTGCGCCGCGATATCCTTGCGCCTCGCTACACGCGAGGTATTCCTGCGCCCTGCGCGGAACGGCCCCGAATATTTAAATTGTGGCTGTCATAGACCCTGTTTTCGTGGTCCGGTGGACGTCCATCTGTTGTCCTTCACTCCTGGAGGGTAGTGCCGATCGGGCCTTCGTCCTCCTTTGCAGGACGAGGAGCGATGTTACCCCGTGGCATCTCGTGGCTCGATTATCCGGGCGCTATTTCCTCCTCCGCTCGCCGGCGGGGAGCGCCGTGTCGTAGGCTGTTTCAGGAAATCCCTTGACGTTACTTTCGCCTTCCGGATGTTCTCTGGCGGGTTGCCCGAAATTCCGTCGAATACAAAAAAATTAGTAAAGCCGCGAAATACAACAAAATCGCTCGTCTCTCCGGGGAGTTCGATATTGTTCTCGCAATCCTGCTTCTGCCGCGGCCGCTACGCTCGCGCCCCGTCAAGATTGCCGGGGCGGATGGATGCGCGTTGAGACGGCAACGTCACAATATATACAGAGTAGGGCAAAAGTTCCAGAACGGCTAAATATCTCAGAAAATGTTAATTTAAAAAAAAAATAGTTTAGATAGAAAAAATAGCTTAATAAAAATCTATTAGCTGATGGTACTTATTTAATCTTGGAATGATCTTGAAAAGCGCGGTCATCATAAAAATCTTAAACGGCAATCCCTATTTTTTTATTACATATTCTTATAGCTGAGGTCAAGAGCTTTCCAAAATACTATAATTAAGTTAGTTTTCATTAAGTACTTTTCGAGTTGTAAGGCTTAAAATAATTTTTTAATTTTACATAAGCCATAAAATATCTAGTAAAATATTCATTTTTCGATTATCTTACCTGAATATTTTTATGTACAAAATAACGAGAGGAATTAATTGGTGCAAAGAAAAAACATAGTTGTTTTTAAGAAAAAATATGGAATTTGCAATTTAAACAATTTAAAGATAAGGCGATCGATGATGTGATCAATAACTCTTCGATCATTAGAAGCATTAAGAGAACGATATGGCATACACAAACGAAGAATATTATGATATGCTGATGGCACTTGGCGAGTGTCATGGGCAATATCATATAACTGCAAGAAGATACGCTGTATCCGAATCGAGCAAGACATCCGTCTGCTGCCGTAATACTTCGTACAGTTCAGAGACTGTACGAGACTGGCAGTGTCTTTCTAAATAAACACGACACTGAAAATATCGATGCAAGAAATTTGCGAAACACGGAACAAATTATACGTACTTTCGAGAAAATCTTGAATCAAGTATTCGGATGATTGCTCGAGAATACAACCTATCTTATTCAACCGTACAAAAAATACTCAAAGAAGAAATCCATATCATTGTATACAGAATGTTAGTAATTGAGTGCGTTAATCGTTTATATATCGTTAGTAAATTTTTATCGATGATGAGTGATTAAGTGAATAAATTCATGAATAAATTCGTAAATAAATACGATAGAAGAACAGAAAAAAACTTCGCTTTCTAATACGGTGTGTCAGAGTGTATGTGTATTAGAACAATGTCTCATTGTTACCAACAATGTGTTACATGTGTAACAATCATTTATCATGATATCTCTACAAGATAAGAATAAATAATAAGTGAGTGAGTGAGTGAGTGAGTGAGTGAGTGAGTGAGTGAGTGAGTGTGAGAGAGAGAGAGAGAGAGAGAGAGAGAGAGAGAGAGAGAATTAACGTGCATGTGTATATATGCGTGCATCGAAATTCATACCATGCTCAAGCCATAGGACCCCATAGGCTGCCGGCATTATCTTTATTATTAATATCATAATCGTAAGAATTATAACAAAAATAATATTTTCGTAAAATCTATCGCTGTAAAATATTTATAGGCGATATAATACATCAAAATATGTGTGGCTTCTCCCCACTTTTCAATATCGTCGACGGTTGATAAGGGGCCCAACGCGTTTTCATTCTTTTCAATGTTACAGGATCCTCTTTCTATTTTTCGAAAAGGTTTTATATTCAAAAGAGAATAACGGAACTTGGCCAGATAACCGGAGCCTCAGAACAAATTGTATGCCTGCCTCATCTTTTTCAAGGTATAATTTTTGAAAATGAAAAGTATAGACACATAATATTTGATGTATTATACCGTCTATAAATATTTTACAGCGATAGATTTTACGAAAATATTATTTTCGTTATAATTCTTATGATTATGATATTAACGTAATTAATAATAAAGATAATATAAAATTGTAATAATAATAAATATTTGATGACGATTATTATTGTGCATGATTATTATTATAATTTTAAACAAATTTAAAAATAAAGTGCATAAAAAATTTATGAAAAAAAGTTCACCAGTAGAGGTTCGAATACGGAACCTGTGGCTTACAACGCTGGCTCGCTATCGCTTCGGCCACCGGGCCGTTTGACAATGGAGAAAATTTTTAGGTATATAAATTAGGTATATAAATTGCTACACGAAGTTTGAGGTGTTTTTTCTCGGCAGCCTATGGAGTCCTATGCCTTGAGCATGGTATGAGTTTCGGGCACTACTATTACCACACGAAGCCTCATCCCGAACTTCATTTCCCAGACCGTGGATTCCCCTTATCAGTTTAACCTACTCTACTTGCATACGAGAAATTAGGTGATTATTTCCGGACACTCTGTATATACAGCGTGTCTCAGAACTCGGTGCCAAAATTGGTACTGCTTTAGGATATGAAAATAAGTTGAAAGAAAATGAATTAATAAATTGTTCCGAGCATTTTGGAAACTATTTGGAATGTATTGAAGTCGAAGAATTTTTGAGTATCTTTTGTAAAATATTAAATAAAGAACATTAAATAATATTTATTTCAATTTATATTTCAATTTATATTGTCTTAAGAAAGCAGCTGTATTATCTTATAACTCCAAAACCGGACATATTCAATATCCATACCAATTCACATATCAAATTCGGACATATGTTTAGTAACATTTACGACTAGTTTTTATGTTCTAAAACAGCTGTATTAATTTTGGCACTGAATTCAGAACCACTCTCTCTTTCTCTCTCTCTCTCTCCCTCCCTCCCTCCTTCCCCCCTCTCTCCCCCCTCTCTCTGTGTGTGTGCGTGTGTGTGCGTGCGTGCGTGCGTGCGTGCGTGCGTGCGTGCGTGCGTGCGTGCGTGCGTGCGTGCGTGCGTGTGTGTGTGTGTGTGTGTGTGTGTGTGTGTGTGTGTGTGTGTGTGTGTGTCCCATCACAGATAGATCCTGAGCATGTACTCAGTACATTGCAAACGTAGATTATGTATATCCCATTAATATTCGATATACGTACTCTGATATTTTGAGAATGTATAAAGGATGTTCCTATGTCTGCGTTAGAAATCTACTCAGTATATACTCAGAATGTACTCCGTATATACTCAGAATATTTTTTGGTATATTATGAGTATATTATTAGAATAAAAAATAGATTCTTCATGTAAAAAATAAATAAAAATGTGAAATTATTTACTTTCTAATCAAAGCTTCAGACAAAAATGTTATTTCTAATAGAATTTAAAACTTCAAACTATAAAACTGAATACTAAAAATGAATATAAAACTTAAAAAAAACACCTGTTACTGTTTATTAAATTATTCTTATTGAAATATTTATCTCGATAATCTATGTACAATTATGTAAATACACTCGGCAATAGAAATACTTTAATAAACGCAGTAAATGGATTATTTCTTATTTTAATTTCAAATAATCTGTTTAATATTCTGAATTCCAACAAGGAATCCAGATTATTAGACAAATTACTTTAAATTAAGTCAGTTTATTATAAACTGACTAAAAAGAATAAAAGAAGAAATTTTGGAATTATGTTAGTACCAATCCTTTATGTCCATTTCATGAAAAATTGAGTACGAATTTGATAACGTGCGTTACGGGAAAAAGAAGAAACACATGCAATATTACAGGGTATCCTGAAACTATACGAGAAATAATATACTAATAAGAGATATTCAAAGTATATTCTGAGAATATACGAGAAATAATATGGAGAAAAGAGATGTTATGGAAATGTTCTCAGTATGTTACATCTGTAACATATGTTGAGCAAAGATTTCCTTTATGATCTTATAAGTCAATATTCACAATCCGTTCTTATATTTAAAATCATCTTAAGTCTGATCTTAAGTTGTCTTAAGATTCCGTTTAACTAATGAAATGACCGTAACATTTTCAAATTTTATTTAAGATGATCTTAAATATAAAAACTACGAATATGGCCCTAAAATCTCTCAAAAATTGCAATTCTTTTTATCCTTCCATTTTATCTTCCCCCTCTTTCTTTCCTTTCCTCTATCTTTCCTTCTCATTATTCCTTACTCTCTCTCTTCCTCTCTCTCTCACTTATCCGTTCTAAAGTTATTCATATTTTTATGTTGTGTGCACGGAGCTTTCTCGATTTTTGCTTTCAATCTGCAATGGTAATTTTGTACTAATCCTGCTCGATTTCCGTTACTAATCTGTTATCGAATTATGTGAGCAGGTTTTGTAACATTTTTGCTAACATTTTGTTATCGTTATCTAATAAAACAAGTTTTGGACAAAATCTGCAGTCTCTCTGCTGACAATAATTTTTAGCAAACACTTGACAAAATCTATTAGGACAGACTTGGCTGAATGGGTACCATTTGACCATACAAACATTTTTTTAACTGTTTCTATTGAAGTTTAGGTATGGCTTGATTTATAATATTTATAATATTTGTAATATTTATAATATTTATAATATTTGTATAACGACATTTTCTAAACTTTTGACAGAACTTGTAAAAAGTTTTCAATACAATATTTAAAAAAAATTGTTTGTTTTTTCGAAAAGAACTTTTTTTCCTCTATATCAGAATTACATAAGAAGAAGCTTTTTTTTTAGTATGTATGCAATTTAATATTTATAATTTAATATTTAATGTTTAAAAATTTATATAATGCCATGGTGTGTCACATATATCATCCGCATTTTGAGTTATATCCCAACAATATCTTCTAATAGTTCAAAAAATTTATTTTTAAAATTAAAATAATTAAAATTGAAATAAATAAAATTCTGTATAAATACTTAATAATGTATATATTTTGTTTATTGAATTTTCTATTAGTAAATATTGCTTTATCCAAAAGTGTTATATGATAAAATAACATTTTTTAAATCTATTTTTATCGAATCAATTACAAAAGTTCAGTTTGCAATATTTTATAACAGTTTTTGACATAAATTTTGTGATAAAGATTAAAGCGATTCAGATACAGAATTTTGACTCATTTCATTATTAGTTGCAATTTTTTCACTGCTTGTATAAAAATTTGCAATTATGAATATTAATATGTTAACATTTATATTACATAACCACTCTTTCTTTCACTTTTGGTTACATTACCTGTAGCTAAGAAGCATTCTATAATTAAATGTAATATTAAATGTAATATGTTATCTATACATATTCGATTACACCATTTTGCAATTTGTTTGTTTGTAATTGTTGCTATTGTATTTCTATAATTACTTTATTTTTGAAAGAACATTTTTATCTCTTTTTCATGTTTATAAATAATGTAATAAAATAGAAATAAATATAATATTATAATATTAATATTATAATACAATTTTTGTAAATTTGTAATAAAAATTAAATCTCAAAATGTGATTCTAATAGATTTTCAAGGTTATACAAGAGTATATATATTATTGTATTCATAATTTTATATTTTATGTGATTATGAAAGCAAAAATGCAATGTGTGTGTGTTAGGTTAGGTTGTTAGGTATGTTCTATTGAAAAAAATTAAGGTAATCTTAATATTTAAGGAAACTTCTAATATCTAGAAAAAATTTTAATGCTACAAATCATTATTGCCCTTCGCAACCATAATATAAAAAATTACTGATAAACAATTTCTTAATATCTCATTTCAGTTACAAAATAGCGATTTTTAACATCGCTTATCCTATATGTATAAATAAACACACACATGTACACACATAATACACATAATACATATACGAATGCGTGCACACACTGCGTGTATGTGAACAAGTATATATACAAAATTTCACAACTTTTTATTTCACGTATACAATTATACTAAACACACCAGAATAAAATTACATAAAACATTGCAACGCACCATTTCCAAGTATAATTATAATCGGAGTTAAATAATATGACGAAGCTGTCAATGCGACAAACACAATCAACAGTTTAACGAAGATCTTTGACTTAGCATTATATGTAATGAATGCCTTAATTTCTTCAGAGGTTTTATAACTCAGCTTATCGAAATCCTTCATAGTTTCTGCTATGACTTCACCTATTTGACAATTATATAATCGTAACATACTCATTCGTACAAATATCTGTGAAAATGCCATGTTCTCTGTTAAGTTCATGATTACGTGTTCAAGATCATCAATAAAAAGAAATAAATCCAGATATTCTAGAATCATAAGAAAACTAAAATAGCCAAAGTTAATGAAGAATATAAAATCATTGTTCCGAAAAGGCCAAAGACCCAGCATCGACATTAATTGTTTGTTCCACAATAGCACTTCAGCCGCATGATCCAAATTTTTTTGCGTCTATAATACAAAATAAATATTTTATAATTAATTCTCAAAAATGCCTTATTTTTACATATATGACAAATAAAAAGATCTGTATATAACTTACCTGCATCGCACTTTATATTGCTTTCTTTGAATGTTGGCCAGAGACTATCAAATATGTGTTTTTAAGATAATCTCTGCCTTAATGCTTAGAGCTGTCTATAGAATCGGGAAATAAATGATCATAAAACACACAATTGCACTTGAAATTGGCGTATGAATTATATATAGGCGTGTTACTCGATCCACCTGTGTTTTCAATTTAGCATCGCGAGATATGAATTTTTGTTACAAAAATAATCGCACTTAATATTACCTTTAATCGTAACATTGAGACAAAGATTTGTAATAGAGAATTATCGTTTATAATAGAGAAAGCTATATTTCAAGTTATTTAATTATTTGAGATAAGCGTACAATCGCTGATCTTTTAATACAAAATAAAACATGAATGTAAAAAATGTAAAATATAAATTTTGTATATGTATCATAAATAAATATAATATATCTGTTTGTGTACTTACGTTTTGGAGGAGAGGAAGGAGAGGGTAAATATACATCTGTGCATGATTCATCTTCGCTTTCAAACGCAGATACAATTTTTTTCGCTCTAATTTTTTTATAAAAACTCGTTTTCTTGTCGATATCCAAGTCTGATGTATAGATTGCCTTTCTTGCTTTTTCATCGGCCTTTTGTAAGGACGCTGAAAATATTTTAAATAGCAGTAGCAAATATATATTATTAATATATTACGAAAAAGAAGAAAAAAATTAAAATTTTTATTTATACTTACGATACTCGCAAAAAATCCATTCAATTTTAAAAGAAGACCAATCAGAAGGGCGTCTTTTTCGATTTGGCGTTTCTTTTTTTTAATCGCCTTCCGAATTCTATAATTTGTCTTATAATGTGAAGGATATTTGCATAAATTCTTACTCTGTAGCCACACACATTTTCGGTGATATTATTTGAATACCATGAGAGAATTCCACGACAATAAATTCTTGATTCGGCATTTTTCTGAAATTCTTAACTTTATTTTCTGTGCAGTATTATAAACATACACACACACACACACACACATACATACAAAATATCTATTCAAATATTTGCACAAGAAATCTATTTTTATATCTTGTGTATAGATTATGTATATGTGGGTGATCTCGGGAGATAAATAATTGACGCTTTGTTTTAAATGAATAACTCCGAATTTATTTTATCTGCAATTTAAACTAATTAAACGTTCCGTTTATTGTATAAATTTACCCGAGTCAAAATCTTGATTGAATTTGGACACTTTTAAAATTAATTTGCACCTACTTAACAGATCTATATGCTTATACGTGTAGCAATAATTTACTTTAATGATATTATACTTGTTTATTCCTACATTGACTTTTGAATTAATTAAATTGCATAATTTTTACAGTTTTACGTAACACTTTACTTTGAAATGATCCTGATGGTCTGCAACTATTATATATTATAATAATTTTTAATATCAAATTATCTCCGTGTAAATTATACAAATTGCAATATGTAAGAAATTTATGTGTACGGAAAAAATTTTATAGTAAATTATTATATAAACATCATAGTAATTTTTACTATAACAATTACTCCGTATAGAATGTGTATGTATAAACACACACATGTGTGTGTGCGCGCGCGCGTGCATGTGTGTGTATATGTGTGCGTGTGTGTATTACGTCGCACAAATCACTTGAACAAGTTTGCAAGACGTTCGATTAAAGACTATTCTGGGAAATAGAAATTTTGATATTCTATCCGACCAGGACAATGCTCAATTTGCATTAAATAATCGAAGGTAGTTACTTTATTTGATAACTTATTAATAATCTTGATAAATATTTATAAAAATATTATATAAAACAAAGAGAAAATTCTAATTAATCAGAAATATTTTTCAATATTCAGCAATCAAAATGAAATAGAAGACGTACATGAGAGAGTACAATTTTCTCAAAATAATGACATTGAAAACGAATATGGGTATGCAAATTTATTATAATAATAAAATAATAAGTAACAAATAAGATAAAAACTTAGAATATGTGATGTCTTCACACACACACACACACACACACACACACACACACACACACACACACACGCACGCACGCACGCACGCACGCACGCACGCACGCACGCACGCACGCACGCACGCACGCACACGCACACGCACACGCACACGCACACGCACACACACACACACAATAGTGTATATATATATATATTTATTTAAAAAGGCATTTACAGTATAAAAATAAAAACCTTTATTATTTATAAAAATAAATGTAATTTAAGTAATTCACAAGAAAGAGTAGATACTAAGCAGATACGATTGTAGGACTTATGATTCTGCTAATGATCTGGATGATACGAATTCAACTTTTGATGATTCGGATATTTATGGTAATACTTATAATATTGTAACGGTCATATTTTCGGACGTTTTTCCTAGCGCGGATAGATCGCCGGTGCTGGGTTTCTTTAAATGAAAATACGCGGTGTGTAGTATAATTGCGTTTATTCAGATCGTGATGAAGATGTGTACAGAATTGGAGTGTGTGTGTGTGATACGAGTGTGTGAGCGTGTGTGCGAATATAAATGTTCGTGTATAAGTCGCGTGGTTCGCGTAATTATGCCGAATATTAACGCTGATTTAATTTCGGCCTCGTTTTCGCACGCCGGCGGGTGTTTACTATCGCGCGAAACAGCGCGCGTTTTTGCGGCGCTTTTTGTCGCGGTGATTCCGGTATTTCGAGAATTCTTTGGTTCTCGGAATCGACGGGTGTTTTCGCTGTATTATTTATTTCGCGGCGTCGCGATTTAAAGCCCGCGTACAATTCTGATCTATGCGCTTTAATTCGGCGACATTTACGCGTCTATCTCTGGATGTCGAGATGCGCTCGCTTAGTTGCATACAATGCGTTTAGGCGCGTCGTCGGACGACGTGATTAACCGGTGCGCAGAGCGCTTAAAATGACGGTGTCGGTGATTAGTACAAAATACGCGTGCGGCGGTGGTCGGCGCGTGCAATTCCGGATTTCTTTTGCGAAGGATGGGTTGCGCGATGCAGCTGGGATCAAGATCTCTCGATCCGGGGCGGCTCAGAGCTCCACCTTCCGTGACAGTTCAGCTGCGGATTAGGCGGATTGCACTTGTGCTTCGGAACCGAGATCACTCGTCTGAGACGGAGCTCGCTCCACCTTTTGTCCTTAGCTACTTAGTGCTTTTCGAGAGGATTTTCTGGATTGCTTTGAAGCGTACTGCTTAGAGCGGATCGGGAAAATGTCCTTAAAGCTAAAAATGTGGCTCTTTTTATACGGGCTAATTGCCCGCGTCGGCGCGCGGCGGTATAACCCTTCCGAACGGGTTTTCGGAAAACGGTACGGTCGGGCTCGTTCGGAGGGATTTGGGTAGGAGCCTTTCGCCCGAACGCGGGCTTTCACCGGTCGGCGGTTCGGGCCACATCGGCTTTGTTCGGCGGTGTTCGGTCGAATTTCGATTCGAACGGTTTTTGGAAGTCTTAAAAAAGGTGGGCGCACCGCGCCCCTGCTTCTGCCCGGCGGGTGTTCTGCCGGGCGGCAGCTTCCGGCAGATGATATGCCGGGAATCGTAACGATGCACCGGGATGCATCGTTACAATATCAACCATGAAAATATTGATAATGATCTTAACATGTCATTAATGATGATGACCGAAATGAACCATTATTAAGTTTATTCATCGCATGCCACGTTCAGTTACAGATTTAATACATTAGAAAGCGTCAGAACTAAAGTATTTTTTTTTTATTATTCTATTCCTGTTTTCGAAAATATAATGCGCGCATGCATATTTGATCAATGTGTCGTCAAAAAGATAAAAAAAGTTAAACAAATAAAAAGATTAAAAAAATTAAAAAATTAAACAAATTTTTCTCATTCAAATTCTTTTTTATTAATAGGAAAAGCAACATATGTTTGATTATCAAAATTCATATAAATACAAGTTATCATAAGAGTATTCACCTTAACAGCATATAAATTATTGGTTACATAACATTTATATAAAAATGGTGTAGTAGAATAATCAAATCGATCGCCTACAGTGTTAAATACATCGTGTTTTTTAATTTCATTAATAATTACATAATGTTGGTAACAACAATTACAAGTAAGCTGATTACAATTTGAAAGCTTAACAAAACAGTAAATGGAACCTAATTTCTCTTCATTATTTTGATAATATCGTACTATAGATGATTCATTTTGCAGAATTCTATTATACATTTTAGATATGGACAGTTATTGTAAAGTTGTTATTGTAAAGAAGTCTGAAATACTGATATATTGTAAAATTATCATATGTTATTTCACTATTATCAAATGCATTTCGAATAATATCTGTAATTGATTGTATTTTGTATTTACCAATACTATAACAATGTGGTTATATCTGTTGTATAATCCTAACTTGTTTTTTTTCTCATACAAAAATTTTTAATATCAATATTTTGCAATAATTCTAATATTCTAATCATTTTGATGAATTGATTTTGTGAATTAGCTAATTATATCGATGTGACGTGTACCATGAATTAATTTTAATAATTGACCATTTAAATCTTCATATTCGTAGCATGTATAAGCCCATAAGGGTCTTAGTTTCTTTACACAATTCCCTAAATGTAATAATACATGAATATTTATCGAACAAAATTGAATTTCGTACATATCTTGAAATTCACAAACAAATCGTCGTAAAAAATCTTGAGCTACTTGTATCATAAAGTCTGTAATTACATCAGAACTTAGAAGTTTTATAGCTACAACTAATCGTAAATAATGTTCGAAATAATCTACGCGCATTATATTTTCGAAAACAGGAATGGAATAATAAAAAAAAACACTTTAATTCTGACGCTTTCCAATGCATTAAATCTGTAACTGAACGTGGCATGCGATGAATAAACTTTGGAGGGGGGGTAAAGAGGGTTTTATAGAATTTCTCAAAAATGAGAATCTATATCTTGGTTAAATGCACCAAGTAAAATATATGCATATGCCGTGTTTTTCGTTTAAAATTTCGCGTACAATTAAAAAGAATTTTTCAGGCATTTACCATCCGCTGTG